AGTAAAGCAGAAATTTCCCAAATTATTAACCAGAGCACTGCTAATTTGCTCCAATAATTACCTGGATTTGGACCAACAACTCCAATTGCATTTAGCACCTAATTATGCCAATGACAGCCCAGACTCAAGGCCCAGCTGTCCTTTGTACACCAAAGAAAAAGGAAATGCTTTATCCATGACTTTAATAGCGTTATTCATTTCTGTCACTTTTTTTTTTCTAAATTGACTATTCTGTCATGTTTTTCACTGACTATTTTGATAAAGAGGAGAAACTCCAGAGTCCTTTGAAAGCTTATAGTCAGCACATTGTGGAACAAATATCCATGTAGAGTTTTTGTTTCACTGCTAAATATATATATTTCAACTGAGATTTTAGAAGCTGGGGAAATAATTGTAGGTGGCTTTATGGGCCAACAACGGATTATGATAAATATTCTGTTAACTGCCTGCCCCTAAGTCGTGGACCAGTGCACCTCAGGGACCCTGGGATACAGTCTTAAGTCCGAGCCACTGTCTGGTCTGGATGTTCCTCTTTCTTTGATGCACAGTTGCTCTCCAAGCATCTTGGCTCCCTCTGGGGGAGGCTGAGAGAAATGTTACCTGTGTACCTATGAAGCATTACTACTGGGGCCAGGGATCCCTTCAGGGAATCTGACTCTGGTGTTGGGTTTAGATGAGGATTGTCTAGTATGGTGGCCCTTCTTGAAGGATTTTTCTTATAAGGTTTCACACAAGACAAGTGTGACTTCAAGAAGGTGGCCCTTCTGTTTATATCCTGGAGATGCCACAATCAATCAGCAATTCCAAACTGGGTCAGAGGGTTCTCATTACCTTTTGGGGGTTACTTCTTGTTATAGTCACCACACATGCCTTTCCTCTAGGGAGTCAATGCCACTGCCCCAGTGTCCTCTACCATGTCTCAGGTGTCAGGGGACAACCGTGGGAGAGGACTTCAATATGCTGGCATGCTGTGCTCCAGCGTACTTCTCAGCTGTGAAAAAGGAAATGTCTTCTGGAAGATCTCATCAGTTGTAACTAGGAGTTTGGTCTCAGATGACAGACAATAAGCCAGAAAAGAAAAAAAGACATGAACCAAAACAAAACAGGAAGACCAAAAACATACAATAGCCCTGTCACTTTCCTGCCCCTCAACACAAGTGACACCACTTAATGAGAGACAAAAAATGCACTTCTTTATCCAGTCATCTGTTGGTGGACATTTGGGTTGTTTCCACGTCTTGGTTATTGTAAATAGTGTTGCTATGAACAGGTACATATATACAATGGAATACTACTCAGCCATGAAAAAGAATAAAAGAATGCCATTTGCAGCCACATGGATGGACCTGAAGTCTGTCATTCAAAGTGAAGTGGGCCAGAAAGAGAAAGGAAAATGCCACATGACATCATTTATATGAAGAGTCTAAAAAATAATGACAATAATGACACAAATGAACTAATTATTATTTTGATTTCTCGTATATGTGTAAGAACATCTGATGGTCCTTTATGACTGGATTATCACGTTCTGTTGATTCTTATTTTGTAGTTGGCTTTATTCCTTTGATAACTATGCAAGTTTAAAAAGCAAAAGGTCTAATCTGTTCTTAGAAACAATAACTAGTACATATATGAAAACTAAAAAAAAATGTGCAGTATATTGTTTATATATATTTACATGCAATATAATGTGTATGTGCAGTTGACCTGCAATAATTCTACATAATAAAACTGGAAAAAAGCAAACTACTTATATGAATTAAAATATAATAAAAAATGCATTTCTTTCTTTCTTGGATCATCTTGACTTTTTTTTTTAAGACCATAATAAGAGTTCAGAACTCAGTTAAATTATTGTTTCACATTGTATACAGCCATTTAGTGATGCTTGCCATTTGTATCAAATTTTGGAAGACCACACACCTGTGATATTGTTATTTCAAATTCCGTGATGTAAAATTGATGTAACGTTTTGTGACAAGTGTTGACAAAAAAAGAAAACAGAACAAAATAGACTAGCGTGCATTTCACTGCATGCACAAAATAAGGGTAAAGATCGTTTCAGGAAACTTTTGTTTGGTTCATATGCAGTGAAATGCAATAAAATATTCAATGATCCATCGGATTTAACACATTTTCATAGCTCACATGGTAGACAGTTTCTATTATGCCTGTTTAGTTTTAGCATCATATTTGCTTCCTGTCTTGGTTAGAACATTCAAGACGAGTAGATATGTGCTATTTTTTCTATTCCCACCCCACGATAATTTTATTTCTTCAACAACAAAAGTACAACTTAAGTAAGTATCAAATTATTTTGCTGTAATATTTCCCCCACTATACTCTTTAATCCATTGTCTTGTGGGATTTGTATTGTGGAGAATCCTAAGATCCTCTTTTCTGATTCTTTGATGACTTTTTTTTTCTTGTGTACATGTAGGTCCTCCATCCCCTTTTTCATTACAACGTTTAAGACTCTCTTTTCTTTCAATCTGTCTGCACTTTCAATTTCTATTCTCACGTTTTTATTTCAAATGACATTTGTAGTGTTGCTGAAACTTGTTCAGTGCTACACTAAAGCAGCCCTGATGGTCTTTTCATCTTTTTTTTTTTGCTCCTTAAAATTATCCATTTTAAATTAGCTTTAACATTCCCTCAAGTTGAATGTACCCGTGCAGGATCTATGCAAAAGGGTGAATTGACTATTTGAAAGACTTAGTTCTGTTCCCAAAGAAGTCTTGCTTATGACCTAAACTCTATACACAGTAAGAAGTGGGCTTCAGAGTTGACCTGCGTCCTGATCACAGAGCAACAGTTCACAGTGGAATTTTCGAAGTCTGTTTTGCTACTCTGTCCTTGGCTTGGCCTCATCTGGCTGCCCCTGGCCTGAGCTGATCTGGCCACTCTCCCCTCCCCCCATGAAGTTAGATGGATTCACATTAGTTTACAAAAGCTGTTCTCTCCCTCTGCACCCTCTTCTCCCGGGTCATCTCCTGACTGGCTTCCTATTATTCAACACTTGCTTAAATGTCACGTCCTCAGGGGAGCCTCCCCTGATTACCCCCAGTCATCCTCCTGAATTTTCTTCTTAGAATTGATCACTATCCTATATTTTCCTATTTTTGAATGTTTACTGTCATATCTCCCTAAATATAGGAAAGGATCTTACCTGTCCATCCCCCAAACTATGAGTCTATAGGACTTCCTGAATCATAGACTGCTCCCTCATTAATAAGTAGTTCTATAATTAAAATTATTTGGGCTTAATATTTGACATTATGTACATCCACATTTTGTAGCTTCATAGTCGTAATTCCAAGACATAATCCTCAGAGTTTATGTATTATCTGACACAGATTACATTTACCCTTTCCAATTATCCAATTATTTTTTTCTCGTAGAAATTACCACTAGGTTAAGTTTAATATTTTGTCTTTTTTTTTTAAATAAGATCAATACCAGGATCACTGTATGTGAATGGTTACCTGTGTATATTTTGTAAAACTATATTTGAAGCTCTTAACATTGGTTCTAAAAAATTCAGCAAACATCACCCCATATCTGTTATTCTGTGCTGTATATGAGAAATTAAAAATTTTTTTTTCTGGACTTAAAAGTATATGTTTTCTTTGTCAAGTATATATATACTATCTCCCTAAATATGTCTTGCTTCCAAGAACTTTCAATGAACTAGTTCAAAATGATAATAAATAGGTCCTTTAGTGTTGGTGGGTTCATGGTCTCCACCAAGTTCATCTACTAACTCAGATTAAGAGCTCCTGCCTTCAGTGGTTTTGCTACTGTATCTTCAAATGTTTTCATTTGCCCTGTTTCATTTGTAAGCAGTTTGTACGTCTTTAAGAAAGAACTAAAGAATTTGCTTAAATTCAGGTAAGCAATTTGAACTTTTTATGATCCCCCTGCCTTAGAAAGATGTTTATTATATAATCTTAGAAATCAAGGTTGAGAAAGTCATATAACGTACTTTTCAAGCTTTATTTGTTTCTACTGTCATGGTTACATACAAGGTAATGAAATCCCAGAGGCACACAATTTAAGGTGAAAACCACTAGACGTGTCTTTAATTGGTTATGTCTTCTGTTCCAATATTGAAGTTTCCACATTAAATTTTTCAGTTTGGAGGAACAGACTGTATGCCATGTTCTTTCTCAAAGAAGCCAGTGAGTCCGACTCTTGGTGGTGCATTGACAAAGAAATCTTCATTATTTAGGACCCTGACACTGTGAGTCTAATAAAATTCTTAGCAAGCCTGTGCAATGTCCTTTATTATGAGCGGGAATGGTGAGCATCAGTGATAAAGATACGTGGCTGTCTTGTTTTAGAACTGACTGATCTCGTGACCTGAATTTTGGGTAAAAATAAATTACACAGTGAATTTTCCCAGTGTGGCTGGATTTGAATTTCTAACACTAATTTATGCTTGAATGTATGCAATGTCTAGAGTCCAGATAGACTTAATAAATAATATTTATCTTAGTATTTTATGTATTTTAAGCATTCAACTTTGAAAGAAAATAAATTTCTAGGTTAGTAAAATAGCGCAATCCATCTTTTATTTATTTTTCTCATTAGACTGAAATAATAAACCAAATGAACAAGAAAGATGCTAATAAAAGATTCAGCATGGAACATTATTTCTCAGAAGATGATGTCAAGAATATTACGAAAATACGCAGATTGCTTGTAACTGACTTGCAGAAAATCAATGCATTTACCTTTGAAAAGCAGAGGTATTCATTGCTTTCAAGCTTCAGTCCAACACCTTAGGCTCCCGCTGACAGTCCTACAGTGATGATCTTCTGGTTTGTTATGAAAGAAAATGGAAGAATCTCTCTGGAAGGAAAATTTAGGTCATTTCTGCCTCGGTGTGTCTATTCCATAGTGCGTATGGAACACACTGAGAATTCTGCGTATCATTCTTTGCCAGAGTAGTAAACAGGTTCTAATTCAAATAGTCTGAATGACCATAAAGCCAAAAATAGGAGTGGAATGTTTAATGTTATAATTTGCTCAACTAGTGAAAACGGAGCACACCGTCTTCTTTAGTCAGAGATTTGCAGTCATCTTTTGCATACTAGATTTAGCCAACAACCAAATTTTAATCTTTAATTAGGAGACATGAAAATGTAATTAGCAGCAAATAACAGAATGACAAAGCTCGCCAAAATCATAAAGGTTCAAAGGAAGCAGCGCTTTTAGCCACAGTGAGAAGTGTTCTTCCAGGAAGTTAAGGAATCGTGATGACCCCTTCGCCTTTCCCATCCCCATTTCCGAGGCAAATTTTCCAGGGACAACATTGCTCTTTGACAATAAAAATGATGACCATCCAGGAATGGCTGTCAAAACCAGAGAGCATACATTCTTCAGAGTCAAAAGATCCTCAAACCCGAATAAACACCATAGAGAAAGGAACGTAGCAAATTCCAACACAGCATACACACAACACAATCAATTCCTTTATCAGAGACCGATACAGTTTTGAAGATGCATTTTCCAGAAGGAAGCAGAGGGCAGTCAGGACCATCTGCAACTGTCAAACCTGTGGAAGTGCACCAGTGCATTACAAAAGTCCCACAATGTATGAATTGTAAGTGAAAAAACAAATGCTTTATCAAAAAAGGGTTGGTCGACGGCCCAACATACAGATATTCATATGTCTATATTTATATATAGAATGATAAAAATCAGCTTGCATGAGGGTCATTGTCTATCTACTTTGATGCTATTTCACACATACTATAAGCAATTTACAGAATTTGTCATTGGCATATACAGGAATTGCAAAATGAATCAAAATGCACTGAAATCTAGAACACTCAGAATGTTTTTATATGAACTCCCAGGATTGACAGGGATTGGCCGAAATCACCACTTGCCACCATACAAGAAGTATCATCAAGAAAAAGGAAAAAAAAAAAACCCCAAAACCCAAGAGAAAAGGGAAAATTAAAAAAAAATTCTTTTATTATTCCTTATTTAAGACAATGTTTTCTTTCTTGACTTGCAGCGTGGATAATTTTGTTCTTGCCCCCAAACGGGGGTTTTGTTTGGTGATAGTTTGTGTTCTGTAGCCTTGTGATTTCTGCTCATTTCCTGCAGGGAATGGATCTTTTAGTAGGAAACCAGTGGGATCTGCAGTAAATATTCACTATCGATGACGGTCAGGCCAACCCCTGAGCAGTCAGTGAAATGATGCTCTGAGTATCCGACAGAAACGGGGGGGAAAAAAAAAGTAGATCTTGCTATGAGAAAAAAATGTCCTATCACGTCACACTAATTCTCTTGAAATGAAAGATCAGTGATTTGGCCAAGATTATAAACAAAGCGTGAGGCAGCCTCTCCGTTTATGCTTCCGAAGGCAGGCGCTCCTTGGGTGGGTAACTAGAGAGCAGTGGGTGCAGAGTGGTGGTGCTTGGAGTTTAGGGTCAACTTTGCTGTCCGCTCCGTAGATTTTACAGGCGATTTGCTCTTTGCTTTAAGAAGAGAAAGTGATATTGGAACAAAGTCAGCACTTTAGACTAAAGCAAAGCACCCTTCACAAAGCCACATACAAGAAGCAGGACAGAAAGTCCATGGCTTGTAGCTATCCACGCACCTGTGGAAGAAGTTATAAGATATTCGCTCATCTCGAAGATTTCCAATGCTCCTTATTAGGCTGTTTTAAACACATACAGATATATATTTAATTAGCTCGCCAGCTTGGGCTCTGGTGTTCATGAATGTCTTGGCATGCACTGCAAACGACAACACATACAGAGGATTTCAGTCCCAGGAAGTGGTCTTTGTCTGCTTTTGTCTGTCCTCAAACATCGCCGTCCCACGACTGGGAACCCCGAGAGGAACAAACCCAAATGCTCTTTCCTCGCGTGACTCTAGAGTCATTGGATTGCTCCTAGACTGGTACCTAAAAACACATTCTCTGTTTGACTATCCGGTGTGAACATAACGCCACAGGGGATGAAACCCAGACCGAGAGAGCAGTAGGCTTCTTAAGGGCGAGCAGAACACGCCCTGGAATGGGTGCATCTGAGCACCGGCTTTCAGAGGAAAACCTTGCTCAACTTTTTAGCCTTCAAATCTGAAGAAAAAGTTAGTGCTGCCAAGAACTGGACATTTTTGAAAGAGCTCTGAGCCTCCATAAGGGAGAAGGTTAAATTGTATTTTTGCATTTTTCTCCCCATACTTTAATCCAGTCAGCTACACATGAGGTATTTAATACCTTTAGTAGGAAGAAACAAAAATGCAATGAACCTCAAAGCATTTCTTCTTTCTTTGTTTTTGTTTTTTTTTAAATTCAACAAATGTTAGAAAGTTTGAAGAGGGGTGACGGTAGGAATAATCAATCTCTTACACATTTCAGCTAAATCATATTCAGGTCCACATTGGCAATGATAGAAATTGAGGTGGAAACACATGCTCTCAAAAGGTCACATTGTAGAGTAAATATTTGGGAGTTCTAACCCACAATACTGGTTCTCAGATACGTTACTTTCATTCTGCCATTGATTTGCCTTCATTCGTGGGGTGAGCCATGCATTTAACACAGAAATCTACTAACAGAAGACCCAGAGGTTCGTAGTGGGTCTCTGGGGAGCGTTGCTTCATTCAAGGGGGGGTGATGAGGTTCAAAAGTGCAAAATAGTAAAAAATGTAACCATATGATCCCTATGCAGTTCTAAGTACAAATATTTTGCAAGGAAAATATACACAATCCACTTAGCAAGAGGGCTTTCCAAAATTAGATATATGCTCTTAGTTTCTTTCGAAGAGAGATTTTTGATGGGGATTTATTTAATTGAAAAAAAAAAGAAAGGGAAAAAAATTGATTACGTGGCTCTTCAAACTTCCAACACCTGACTTGACACCAAGTACACCTGACATTGAATAAAGACTTAAAAAAATGCTAAAAACAACAAAACCAAGGAAAAAAAATTTCACTCTTCAAGAAAGGTACTTTGTGAAATAATGGTTCCCTTTTCAGCATGAGCATGGTAGATTGGCTCAAATTGCTTGAAATTGTGTACTACAAGGCTTCTTTCTCAAAATTCAAAGGGAATAGCTACTTTATTTTGACCCAGCATCTCCCATCATGTTATGTCCAGGATGTGCAAGTTAAAACAAAATTTACCTGCGTGGTATCACTGGAAGCAAACCCCGTGATATACTGTGAAAGGTATATTAAGACTAAACTTTTAAACTGCCATCAGATACGCAATAAACCATTGCAACACATCACTTTTTTTTTTGTCAGATTGTAATCATTCATCCACTCTAGGTAATGCAATTCCTAGCATATTTTTAATTAAATGAAATTTATCCTTGTCAAGTCAATTACAAGTTTTTTTTTTCCTGTAGAGTCAATTCTAAAACAAATCTGTTTTGTCATCAAATCACTGATTGTTTTTCTCTTCTTTCTAGGGTTTGTGTATATCTTGAATGAAGAGATATGTGCTCCTTTATCTTTGTTAATCCCAAAGGTTTAGACAGTGAAACCTGAGCCTCTAAAATGTTATCATTTATCCTGTGTGATTTTAACAAATGTTCACAGTCACTTTCATTCAGATGAACACTTTCCTGGATCTAACTATTATTTAGCAAACATAACATTCCACTCTATTCTATTCTGGAGAAAATCAATTTTTTTAATAAAATGCAAACTTTGGCAACTTGTCATGTTCTACTCTTATTTTTATGGATAGAAACATTTTACTCTTTTTAAAATAATGAGATTCAGGATTGCAGTCAGAAGCCCTGAGTTCTAATTTCCTTTGAGGACACTCCTGAAATTTCAAATAAGATATTTGTTTCTTTCACTTATTTTCTAACACGAGCAGAATGATTGTGCACTACTGTTTAATGTACTTTCTTTTTTCTTATCAGTATGTGAAACGTGGCATTGGACCGTTCATTTCTGCTTTATTTGATTTCTTTTGCTCCATGCCATAATGTATTATCCATAATGTATTACGGCCCTAAGATGCTCATGCATGCCCTCAAATATCCTATTTTCCACTGAGTCTGTTCCCACCAACTAGTTGTAAGCTCGCTCTCCTCTGACCTTCAGCAGCCATTTTGATCTTGCTTCTCCTATGGCCTGCGCATGGCTTATACTGACTTATAATCATTATTTTTACATTTGTCCTCACTGATTACTCTAAAAGATCATTAAAGGCAAGAGTGACATTTTAGCTTTTTTTTTTTTATTACTCGCAAAGTTTAAAACAATGCCCTGAGTTTCAAAATTTTGCCTCCAAAAAACAATAGGAAGAAAGGGAGATACTATTGTGCTATTATGTGAAGAAAATGCACAGATAGCATGCCGAAATGGAGTAGGCTGAAAGAGCCAAGAGATGCCTCTCTGACTCAGAATGTGATTTCATGGTGTCCTTTGACTCCTATTGAATAATGGCGCCTTTCATTTGTTTTTATGCTTGAAGATTTCCATAGTGCTCTGTCAGGTGTAATTTCCATGCCTTCGTAAGGGGAGGGGAGGGGAGGCAGTGCATTTTCTTCATTTTGCAAACGGAGAATTCTAAGAAGTCTTCCCAGAAGTCTAATGAGTACAGAAACTTGGCTTCCATTTTCCAGCCCTTTTTATACGTCCTGCAATAGCGAGGAAAGCATAGCCTTCACTGAGCAGGCATCTCTCAAGACGGTGTCTGGGACAAATGAGAGTTTAGCCAAGGAGAAATCTTAAAAAAGTCTGGAATATTTTATCTTCACTATCTATAATTATTGTTTCAGAGACTATCAGAAAATCCCATCTATTTCTTTAAAACAAAGCAAAGCAAAGCAAAACAAAAACTATCAGAGCACAGTGGTTGAGGCATTCTCAGAGGTCAGGTGGAGAAGGGGCGTTTCCTGCACCATCTCATCAAGGTCACTGTCATCTTCCTGCCTCGTGGGACCAGATTGGAAAGCCTGCCTGGCCCTCACCTCTGGCTCCCTTGTAGCTCCTTCCTCTTCTGGGCTCCCATTTCTTTCCTGTGTCTACAATCACGAGCATATTTAACAGAGCTATTACTTGTTCACATCTATCTTCAAAATGGCTACAGTGAACCAGCTGCCCACTACGTGTCAGGGAACACACAGTAGGCACTTTGCACACATTGTCTTGGTTCATCCTCTCAACATCCCTGAATAGCAAACATACAGATGGGGAACATGTAGCTCGGAGGCATGGAACAGCTCACCCTGGGTTACATGGTTAATAGGTTGTAAAGCAAAGGAACAGAAATGAAGAAACAGCAACACAGTCTGATCAACTCGAGATGCGCTTTTTCTGAAACTCCCTGAGGCAAAGGAAGCTTCCGTCCCTGTCTCCACGTCTGTTAAATCAAGATGTGAAGTTATTATTTAAATTTACTTTAATCTTTTGAGAGAAAATGCACTGGCTATGATGTGCTGTGGAGAAAAGAAAATAGAAAACTTCTTTTTCCCAAATCTGAACTAATAAAGGATATGAAAACATCATTAACATCTTTGTTTTCCTAAACATTAATAAGTAAAGCTTGTTTTGCTCCGTATACTGTCCCAAATGCCTTATGATATAATAATATTTTGAACTTTTCGTAGTATAAGCTTTTTGAGCTTAAAGCTTCCTCTAAATTCATTTGAATATTTGAATGAGAGGTGGGTCCACCATTATCCTTACATGTTCACCTCTTTCCATGAATTTCTCTTTCCCAAACTTCTGATTTCAAATTTGATCATCTGGGACCAGGAAAGGTTGATGGTTCAAAGTGCCACCATCAGTTAGTGGTGGGGAGAGAGAACCAGAGCTCTAGGTTTCCCAAAAAGATCTTTAGAAGAGGATGGGGGTCTTTAATTCAAAGAAGAAAGGACAGCATTGGGACAACTGTCTAGACAATTTATTCCATCTACTCTCTCCAGCTCTTCAAATATCCTCTCTCTTGGCTGTGATTATTTTGTGACAGATTAATTTCCTATGTGAGCCCAACTCTTGATTTTGATACGGGAAAGAGTCACAATTTCAGGGCACCTGTCTATACATTAAGGCTTCTCTCTTCTTTTCTTGTTTGAGTATGTAGTGGGGTCAAAAGGAGGAAAAAAGAGAGAAAGAACACAATTTCTCTCCTGCTGTGACCCCATAGTCTGACTCCAGAATCTTTATTTTGTAGAAGTGAATATTAGTGATGCTGATCACATGAACAAACCTAAAAATGGAAATTTCCCAATAATAAAAGAAGCAACACCCCAATTGTTTTGCCCTGTGAAGAGGCCAAGCTTAAACACAGTGGGGTGTCCCTTACAGCTCTGGGGACAGACAGGCCTTTGACTCGTCTCTCTATTACAAATGCCAGCTTTAGGATATGAAAGTAGCTATGGGAGAAAACTTGGGCTAGCTTTTAATGCAGTTTTTATTCAGGTTTGCACATACTGAATCACAATTTTAGGGGAAAGGTCGAATAGTAGGATAATTTTATCCTATAATTTTTTTTTGAAAAGAATA